GTGATGTGTGCCCTGCTCTGGGTCCTCTCTGTCGCTGTCATTGCCACAGTGACTTCCCTATGCCTGTCACACAAGGATGAGCTTTGCCAGATGTCTCTTGTCTCCATGTTTGTCCTCAACTTCCTCATCTTTGCCCCATTCATGGTCATCTCCAACGTGATCCTCTTCATTAAGGTCCACTGTGGCTCCAAGAGACGTCAACCTAAGAGGCTCTACATCGTTATCTTCCTCACTGTCATCTTCTTCCTCATCTTTGGGGTTCCTCTCAGCCTCTTGCATTTCCTGCAGCAGCTCAGCTACTCCTTTGTGTCCTCCCAGGTTGCTTTCCTGCTTGCCTGCATCAACAGCAGCACCAACCCCTTCATTTACTTCCTGGTAGGGAGCTGCTGGAGGCGCTGTTCCCTGGTGTCCCTCCAGGTCGCCTTCCGGAGGGTCTTTGAGGAGACGGCGATCACCACGGTCTCCAGCTAAGAGGCCACTTGCGGTCCCGCTGGCAGTGCTGCCCACCCAGGCTTCACGCTCAGCTGCCCACCCTTGCTCCCAGCCACGCCCCTGCAGGTCATCTCCGCGCAGCTGTGTGTTGGGATGGATCCCTTATCCCATCCCCACTCCGTGCTGATCCATGTTGTGTCCGTCCCCATCTCATCCTCAACCCCATCCCTGTCCCATCCCATCCTGTCCCGCTGCGCCCCGCAGGACTCCCGGCCGGCGGCCGCTCCCCGGCTCCGAGCTCGGCCCGTCGGGCTCTGCTGCCCTCCAGCGAGGGGAGACGGCACGGGCGGCATCCACACACCTGCGACACCCTGCAGACCCCCTCCGACACCCTCCTGACACCCTCAGACACCCTCTGACAAGCACTAGACACCTTCCAACACCGTCGTGGCACACTCCAGACCCCCTCCTGGCACCCTCCAGACCCTCTCCCGACACCTTCCAGACCCTCTCCCGACATCTTCCAGACCCCCTCCGACACCGCTCAAACCACCACGACAGCCTCCAGGCGCCTTCCTGACACCGTCCAGACCTCCCCAAGACCCTCCAAACCCCCCCTCCCGGGGTCGCCTTTCCCCCAGACGGTGCCCGACAGCCCCACTCCTGCCCCGCTGACCCGGGACCCCCGGGAGTGCCTCCGCTCCTCCCAGCCCGTTCCGCTCTTCCGCCCCAATAAACGCCGCTGGCTCTATCCCGCCACCGCCTCTTGTTCCTTTCCCAGGGAAGTTTCGGGGGGGACGGGGGACTGGACAGCAGGGCTGAAGCTCCGAGTGTGTGGGGAGTCTCCCAGAGAAACAGCCCCCCGAAACCTTTCGGAGCGTCCTGGGGCCAGCAGCCCCATGGGGAGGGACTGGAGCGTCGGGAGTGAGGATGGAGTTGGGGGAGGACTGCATGAGGGGGCAGGGCATGGTGGGATTGGCTTGGGGGAGTGGCGTGGGGGGTTGGTATGGGGGCTGTGGGGGCTCTTGGGAAGGTGTGGGACGTAATGGGAAGGTGTGGGATGTGGTGGGGCTGGAGGGAAAGATGTGCTGGGAAGGTGTGGGTTTGTGCGGGGCTGGCGACCTCGGCAAAGCCACAGGGGAGGTGGGTAATGCCCCGTGGAGCCCATGGTGACAAACACACTGTCACTCTGATCCTGGAAGGGGGTAGCTGGCCTGGGGACCGCGAACTCCCCCTCCCTTTGCCGCTGCACCATCCGAGTCTGCTGAAGGAGAAGCTGAAGACAGGGTAGAGGGGGAGAATTTCCGAAGGAAAAGAGTCCTTTACACTTACACCTGGTTCACAAAATTAAAAATAAAAGATATTTGGGGAGATCTTTGCTGTGACGCTCACAGAGCAGCCAAGGAGGGGAACATGGGACTCCTGGGCCATCCTGTCCATACCGGCTGTGCCCGTGCAGTCCCAGCTGTGGGCTGTGGGGATCATTTGTGCTCCAGGGAGCACAAGCCATGAGTATGTCCCCTCCGTCCATGTGTGTGTCCCCTCCCTCTACCCACATTCCAGGTTGGCAGTAGGAGCCAGAGGAAAGTGGCAAGCTCAGGGTTCACGAAGCTGTTTATTGATATCAGACCACAGTGGGATGCAGGAATCACGTACCAGGGGGATTTTTGGGATCACAGCCCTGTGGGGCATGATTCCTTTGGGGGAATAGCATTCTAGGACCTAGGAGGGAGGAGAAAGCCGTGCTCCAACATGCTCCCTGCAGAGCATCCCTCCCACACTGCCCTTGGCAATGCATCTGCTCCCCTTTCTGGAGGGATTACACTGCGGAAGGGTGACACTGGAGGAAATACTGTGGATATTTATTAATCTGGTGACTCAGAGAAACCCTCAGCCACCGTCCCAGGGTCCTTCAACAGGCTGGGACCACCGTGTCCATGATGGCACCATTGCTGCAGGCAGTGTTCTCTTCTGTCTCCTCAAAGACCCTCCGGAAGGAGACCCGGAGGGACACCAGGGAACAGCGCTTCCAGCAGCTCCCCATCAAGAAGTAAGTGAGGGGTTTGATGCTGCTGTGGATGCAGGCAAGCAGGAAAACAACCTGGGAGGACACGACAGTGTAGCTGAGCTGCTGCAGGAAATTCAAGAGGCTGAAGGGAAAAGCGAAGATGAGGAAGAAGATGACAGTGAGGAAGATAACGATGTGGAGCCTCCTGGGTTGCTGCTGCTGGGAGCTACAGTTGACCTTAATGAAGAGGACTGTGCTGGAAATGACCATGGGCGGAGCAAAGAGGAGGAGGTTGAGGATGTACATGGAGATGAGAGACATCTGGCAGGGCTCGTGCTCATCCAAGAGGCACAGGGAAGTCACCGTGGCAATGACAGCGACAGAGAGGACCCAGAGCAGGGCACACATCAC